TGCGTCACGCCGTCTCGCGAGCCGTCACGCATCACTAGTTGACCCGTTCAATCCCACACCAACGCCGCGTCACGTCACCACGAAGGCAAACGCAAAACGTGCACAAACACGCACTAACACAAACAAACGCGAACAGTAACACGCGCCAGTCATACCAGAACCCGCATGAACCTTTTTTTGGCGCAGTCAGCAAAAACGCCAACCACATGTATTGGAGACGCTCACACCCGTCTGAGCAATTGGATCCGCCTTGTTCCATTCCGAGATTACAAAGGGAGGTTTAGGACAGTGTAGCAATGGAATAACTTTTTAGTATTGATGAAGCCACAAACGTATCCCAGATGTGTTCACGACATGCTTCCCTATAAATTGAGCTGAAGCATCGTGACAAGGCACTTTGCAAGTATGACAAGACGACTGACGAGATGGCGAACACCTGATTTCAACCGCACGTCTCGCTCGGTTTTGACAACCCCACGATAATGCACCACATGACCGTATGCACGCAATGATCCTCCTATGCATTAGTGAGCAGCACAAACCAGCCAACAACATCCATAATGCTTCCACAAAGCGAGTAAATCCATATCTGGCATGTCTCCTGCCAGGCTTACAACATATCGGCTGAGATAATTAAGAAGACCGGCTGGCGCTGAGTTGGCACGAGGCAGCAGCACCACTCAAACTTTGGCACCGTTCGAGTCGAGGGCGCCTGTCTCAACTGGATAGCATTGATCGTGCGCGGCCGCGGCCATCACCGTTTGGCACCGGACCCGCCGGTGGCCTCCGTGGCGGCCCGCCGGCGAAGAGGCGGCACACAGCCACCCGCCAATTTCGATCAGCGCTTATGGGCTCCGGCCGTGCGAAAGGTCTGCCTTTGTCACCCCAGCCAGAGACGAACCTCAGCGCTTATGGGCTCGGGCCGTGCGAAAGGTCTGCCTTTGTCACCCCAGCCAGAGATGAATCTCAGCGCTTATGGGCTCGGGCCGTGCGAAAGGAGACGAACCGGCAGTACATCCAAGGTGGCTGGTAAGAGACTAAACGCTGCTGCCAGCAGCACTAGAGAAAGAAATTACACATTGGCCGTGTGCGCAGTTGCATATTTCCTCGACGAATTGGAAGTGGGTTTGAAATCTATTTGAATACATGCGATTATTTCGCGGTCACTCCACTTTTTGCGCCCAGAATCAGAAGTAAGTACGCGTCATGGAAGCAAAAAGATGAACATACATTCGCTTCATCAATGCCGTTTGAAAGAAAGAGCGTGCAAACCTATTCAAATGCAGTCCAAACCGCCTTACAACTGACCGTGAGCAACATGAAACACCACACAATCTGACCAATGTGAAAAATAGCATTAAATATATCAACGTCCTTTCGATGTTGCCTTAACAACAATGAAGGAGTCAGCAGCCCATACCACGGTCCAATATTCATAGCCCCTCGTGCTGAGGAGTTGACGGAATATTTTCAGCAGCATTTGGGTTCATCAACCCTCTTTCAGAAGAATAAAGACACAGTTTTTACAAATGCAATCAAAATCAATTCTACCATTTCTCCATGCAATAACCGATAGACCGCATGCCACGAAGCACACGGAACGAATGCCAAAACACTGCTCGGAGGAGTATAGCGATATCCTCATAAAACTAATACCGACAAGACGTCTCGAGCGCCGTTGAAAGTACGGGGTAATGACATACCTGATGGCTGTGATCATACGCGCGATACGAAGATCTTGCGAAAGTAGCCAGATGTTCTCGGGGGAACCCCATACAAAGGAATCTTATCAGAATCTTATTGGAATGACCGTCTTTTATGGGTGTTGCGAAGACTAAGATGTTCGTTAGGTCGTTAGCTTGCCACGAAGCACATCGGGTACTTTCCAGCTACCTGGCTGAAGGCATGTCCTGCCTTGGCGTTTCAGAAGGCGAAGTCGTTGACGAACGACCTGTTTAGAAAAAGCGATACTGCCCACTTTCCGGTCGATCGCTGAAGTTGTCAGCAGGCGCTGTGTCGATATATACAGGCGTTGTGTCGTTACAGCGTGCGGCTGGTTTCGCGCCTCTCTCAGGTCTTCCTGCAACTACACTCTGACGTGAGACCTTGACATCATCCCAAAGCGGGATGACCCCTGGCTCGCGCATGGCGCACGCGCCCAGCTGCCCACTTGAGTGTCCGTTCTTTCTCTCGCCGGTGTTATCATCACGCCGCAGTGGGGCTGCGGCGCCGGTAGTTAAGCCGGTTTCGGCCCGTGCTGTACATTTTTCCTTATTGGCTTATGTCATTTTTCCTCCGTTAACGAACTGGGGTGAGGGGGAAGGGGGAGGGGCCAAATGTTGTTCATACTGCGATGATGCAAAAACTAACCCTTGATCATAGACCGCATGTCATACGTTGCAAACTATGCCTTGGCTGAAAAAGAACAACTTGAAAGAAAGCGACACAGCCCAGTGAGCAGTTTTTGGTTGTTCAATTGAGCTGAAGTTGAGAATTCCTTACCATAAATTTCCTCACACTACCTCGACCTACGGTCTTACCCGAGACAATTATCTGTTTTATAAAATGGGAGAAGTGATCATTACGCATTGCACGTATGTGTTTTTTGCATCACACGTTCACAAGCTTCGTCTGCTACTTCCTTCACCGATCCATAGCTTCGCAAAATCAGGCCGCATTTAAGGTCCGAAAAAATGCTTGGTTCAATGGAACATAGCCATTAAGCGTTGGGAGTGGACAATGCTTCCTCAAGGGTCCTCATAACACCATTAGCCCTGTTTGCTACGTGTTTTGAATACTTCCCCATCTTATATCACCAACTCAGGACGTGTGACATGTGTCAGCCTCGTGCATTACAGAGCCACGTGCGAGATTGATTCCAGATGTAAAGCGATGCGTCACGGTTTGAAGACCAGCCGCTGGCCACGCTCCACCAAGCTTTCCCTTTTGTCTCTTGCCAGGCCACAGCTCGATGTTAAACCATTTGTATACCTGATCCACCACATGCGTGCTAATGGCATAGCAGGCCAGCCAGCTAGTGGTTCACGAATACACATTAGTAATATAAACACTATGATTAAATAATAAATAATAGTTTTATCAAATGCGGCATGATGCCATTTGGGCGCGCCACACAGTTAGCCGCACCACTCAACTTAAATGGGCGTCGCAGAATTTGTAGACCACGAGAAAGGCTGTCATCGCTCTATAAAATTCGTTCTATAGCCTCGGTTGTGGGAGCAGCAGAGGGCATAAACCCGCCCCTCCTCTCCACTTGCAGAAGCTGACGAGACCCGCCAAACTCGCGGGGCTGCTGCATAGCATACTGATATCCTC